CGGCAGCAGGAGACGGGGAGGCTGGGCGTGCAGCAGCGTAGGAGGGACCAGCAGTTTGCGCGGCACCGGCGCAGACAAGGAAGCGGAGGCTGACGAGGGCACGGCCTCGCCAGCGGAGAAGGAGCAAGTGCTCCGAGAAGAGGACGCGGAGGGAGCAGCAGACAGGGCGGCGAAGCTCCAAGACGCGGGGCAGCCATAGCTCTGGGGCGAAGGTGCCGCCGGCGGCTGCAGCTGCCTGCTGTTCCCGCCGCTGCCCCCTTCTCCGTTCACTCTCCGCGGCGCCTTCTTCTCCTCGGCCCGGACCTTCTTGGCGGACAGAGAAGCCGGCGGGTCCCGGCAGGAGGACTGCGGCTTGCCATACTGCTCTTTCTCCGAGACGGCGGCGGCGGCGGCGACGCCGCGCGCTGGGCTCGGCGGTTCCGCCATTTTGCGCTCCTGTTGTATTTACTCTCCTCCGCTCCCCGGCGCGGGGCCGGGGGCGGGCCCTCCGCGAGGGGTAGGGAAGGGGCGGAGCGGCCAGGCCACCGGCCGGGCCCGCCACTGGGCGAGTCGCGCTGAGGGATCCAGCTGCAAGCCAATCAGAGGCGCAAACACGAGGAGAAGGGGCGGGACCGCCAAGCGGACCGTCTTTAGAGGTCAGCGCTCCGCGGGGTGCGGCTGGTGGCCTAGGAGCTGCGACGCGAGGTCTGCTAGCAGTCGCTGGTGTGAACTCGGGTGCCCGGCGGATGTCAGGGGAGAGCCCCCAGCCTAGACCTCCAAATCCGCCGTGGCCGAGGTAGCAGTCGTCACTGCCTCGAAGACTTTGTCTTCCTTGTACCGCTTTCTCTTCCTTTTTCCCTGGGATGCCTTTGATCTCACGCTGTCTCTGCGCGTCCTGAAAGCTGGATTTCGGGGATTCTCAGCTCAGAAGAGAAAGTTTTGCTAGGAATTACGTTCTTTTAGTTAGCCGGTAGTCGGTTGATGGGAGGTGCTCAAAACCATTTGGTATGATAGGTTACAGTTGCTAAGATCGTGAACGCTAATGCTTTGAGGAAGATAACTTCCTGCAAACCTAGAACTTTCGGATTACTTCCGAGCTTGAAGGTAAGACTCCTTGGGTTTGGATACTTTTTTGAACCACTGTGATTGGACTCGCCAAGAAAAATTCGTTGGCGAGAGTTTTGTTTTCTGTTTTAATAAAGTCAGGGGTCTGGCTCCGATCCTAGCTCACTGCAGCCTTGAACTTCTCTAGGTTCCAGCGATTCTTTTGCCTCAGCCTTCTGAGCAGCAGAGCTTGTTTTTTTTGTTTGTTTGTTTTTTTATGGAGACGGGGGTCTCGCTGTGTTGTCCAGGCTGGTCTGAAACTCCTAGCCTCAAGCCATCCTCCCACCTTGTCCTCCCAAAGTGCCAGGATTACAGGCGTGAGTCACTTCCCCCTTGGGCGATACATACAGGTGTTTGAAAAGCCAAGTTTTTGTTTGTTTGTTTATTTCTGTATTTTAGCCTTCAGTAAGCACCCTACGTGTTCGATGTTTTGTAAGCCTGTGCTTTGATTTTTATCTTTTTTTTTTTTTTTGAGTTGGAGTCTCACACTGTCGCCCAGACTGGAGTGCAGTGGCCACTCCGGCGATCCTTCCGCCCCAGCCTTCCAAGTAGCTGGAACTACAGGCGCGCGCTACCACGCCCGGCTAGTTTTTGATTTATTGGTGAGATGAGGTGTCGCCAAGTTGCCCAGGCGGGTCTCGAACCCTCGGGCTCAGGCAATCCACTCACCTCAGCCTCCCAAAGGCGCGGGATTAGGGCTGAGCCACCGAGCCCTGCTGATTTTTATCTTAAGCGATAAAGAATTTGGAGAGATGAGTTTTAGCTTAAGCTTAGAAGATAAAAAATGTGAGAAGATGGGTTACAAATACAGTTGTAACCATAGCAGCAAAAAAAGTTTTTTTAATTTAAATTTCTCACATGAAACAAAGTCAAAGGGCTGCATGGAAAAATAAAAGTAGTCAAGTCAGGAGATTACAAATGAAAGGAAAGGGTATAGGGTATTTTATGAGTCCTAAAGAGGATACCTAAGTAAGCTGCCTGTAACTTCCTGAAAACAGTAAAAACCCTTCAAGAATACCCATTCCATGCCAGGCTCGGTAGCTCAAGCTTGTAATCCCAGCACTTTGGGAAGCAGAGGTGAGAGGATTGCCTGAGCACAGGAGTTTGAGACCAGCCTGGGCGACCTGATAAGACCTCGTCTCTACAATAAATTTTAAAAATTAGCTGGGCATGCTGACGCGTGCCTGTGATTCTAACTACTTGGAAGACTGAGATGGAAGGATCACCTGAGCCCAGCAGGTGGAGGCTGTGGTGGCCAAGATTGTGCCACTGCACTCCAGCCTGGGTGACAGAGTGAGACTCATACTCAAAAGAAAAAAAAGGAATACTCATTGTTGTGACCTCAAGATGTTGGAATTCTTTGTTTCTCTTTTTGCTCTTTTTTTTTAAGAATTTTTTTTGGAGTCAAAATTTAATATTGGCTTATGGACTTATTTTAGCCTCAAATTTTTTAAAGTAATGAAAGTGCTTCCTTTAATACACAACAGTGAAAGCAAGTGAAAATTTTGTAGCAGGGCTTGGTGGCTCAGCCTGTAATACCGCGCCTTTGGGAGGCTGAGGTGAGTGGATTGCCTGAGCCTGTGGGTTCGAGACCCGCCTGGGCAGGCGAGACCTCATCTCTACAACAAATCAAAAAATTAGCCGGGCGTGGTAGCGCGCGCCTGTAGTTCCAACTACTCGGAAGGCTGAGGCGGAAGGATCACCGGAGCCCAGCAGGTCGAGGCTGCGGTGGCCGGGAGCGGCCACTGCACTCCAGTCTGGGCGACAGAGTGAGACTCCAACTCAAAAAAAAAGAAAATTTTGTAACTGGAATTGACTGGCAGCAGATGTCTTCATGAAAAGTAGCTTTGGTAGGAGAGTAGACTTGAGAGGATAGCGCCAAAAATCATCTGCCAACTTACTAGTCAGGCTACTTCACCTGTTAGGACCTCTGTTTTCTTATCTGTTAAGTGAGTAAATTTGATTACATGATCACTAAGGTCCCTTCTACACTCTAAACTTATGCTATATTCAAGAAACTTTTCGAAATCATACTGAAACCATTGCAATCAAAATAGTGTCTTAGTTATTGACTCTCCTCTCTAGAAAAGTGTCTCATATATACACTAATGCAGTGTCTGGAAACTCAAGCCAGTCATTCCCTCGTCTCCCACACAGAAGTCTGGAAAATCTGACTTTTTAAAAGCCCAGCTAGAGTATACTCTCACCTGTGTGAATTTGTTTCTCCTTGTACTATATGACACTATAATGCACTGTTATCAAGCCTGGACCTACATTTGCAGAGCCTGGGCAGCAGTGTGGCTATGGAGGCCCATATACCAACTTTCTAAATATTTAAATGTTCTAGACTAGAATAAACTATTTTATAAAATATATTCTACTACCTTGACAAATTGACTTTCATAATGATCTGAAAGGCCAGGTTTAAATTTAGAATCCTCAGACTTCTTATAGCAACAGTCTCCAACCTTTGTGGCATCAGGGACTGGTTTCATGGAAGACAATTTTTACAGACGGGATGAGGGTGGAATGGTTTCCAGATGATTCAGTGCATAACATTTATTGTGCACTTTATATTATTTTTACATTGTAATATGTAATGAAATAATTATACAATTGACCATTTAAAAAAAGAGACATGAGCAGAAGTGGTAAATAAAATAATAGGTGGACCACACATGGACTAAAAATAAGTGTTGGATTCTGACTTAAAGCCTGCTACACATGCAACTGTACAATTGAAGTACATCAACTCACTTGTCACTCACCGATAGGGTTTTGCTATGAGTCTATAAGCGATTGATTTATTATGGTAGTCTTTGTAGTCAAGCTTCACTGCTAGTGTTAATCTGTATTTGCAGCCGCTACCCAGCGCTACCTAGCTTCACTGCCTCAGCTCTACCTCAGATCATCAGGCATTAGATTCTCTAGGCATGCAATCTAGAGCCCTCTCATGCGCAGTTCACAATACAGTTTGTGCTATGAAAATGTCATGCAGCCAGGCTCAGTGGCTCAGCCTGTAATCCCGCGCCTTTGGGAGGCTGAGGTGAGTGGATTGCCTGAGCCCGCGGGTTCGAGACCCGCCTGGGCAGCGAGACCTCATCTCTACAATAAATCAAAAAATCAGCCGGGCATGGTAGCGCATGCCTGTAATTCCGGCTACTTTACTTGGAAGGCTGAGGCGGAAGGATCTCCGGAGCCCAGCAGGTCGAGGCTGCGGTGGCCGGGAGCGGCCACTGCACTCCAGTCTGGGCAACAGAGTGAGACTCCAACTCAAAAAAAAAAAAATGTCATGCCACTGCTGATCTGTTCAGGCAGTAATGCTGGCGATGGGCAGTGACTGTAAATACAGATGAAACTTAGCCTGTCACTCACCTCCTGCTGTGCGGCCTAGATCCTAACAGGCAAGGGGGTTGGGGATCCCTGCGTTAGCGTTCCCAAACTGACCCCATTGTCTTTTCACCCCTAGCTTCTTCATCCACAATACCAAAAGGAGCCATAAAGGCACCCAACATCTCCAAGCTTATGTCCTCATCCTTTACCCTTTGTGAATAGCGATATACAGTTCAGTCTGCCCTTAGATTTAGCCAGTGCAGACTCCAGGTAGGCATGGTCCCTTGACCTCATGGACTCCGTGTCCTTTACGGTGAGAGGAGGGCCAAGTAGACAGGACCCCTTAGTGAGGGCTAAAGACAGCACTGTCTGTTATTTATTTATCTGCACTTTAGGAGGCAGAGGTGTGAAGATTGCTTGAGTCCAGGGGTTTGAAACCAGCCTGGACAACTTGGCAAGACCTTGTCTCTACAATAAACCAAAATTAGGCTGGGCTCAGTGGCTCAGCCTGTAATCCCAGCACTTTGGGATTATTTATTTATTTATGCTCTTTTATCTGTTTTCTCTCCTGTATAATCAACCATTACTTTCAACTAGACAATCCCTAACAGCATTTAACTAGGGGAGAATTTCTACCACTACCACCAATTTCTTTTGCATAATCTCTTTACTAGTACTAAAACCATCTATTTCTATGTAACTGTTGGAACTCTATTCCAAATTCCACCCCTTCTCACCTGTATGTCTACACTAGCCTTTTTTCTGGTGTCCTTGTATTCTAGTTTTCTCACATCTGTTCTCCATTCTACAGCCAAAATGCTCTTCCTTTTTATTTATTTATTTATTTTTTGAGTCAGAGTTTCACTCTGTTGCCCAGGCTGGAGTGCAATGGCATGCTTATGGACATTGCAGCCTCGACCAACTGGGCTCAAGTAATCCTGCCTCAGCCTTCTAAGTAACTGGAACTACATGTATGCCACCACATCTGAATAATTTTTTTTTTTTTGAGTTGAAGTCGCACTCTGTCACCCAGACTGGAGAGTAGTGGCACACTCAAGGCCACCCCA